AGAAGATTGGATCAGAATCTAAAGCAATCCTACTGCAAAACTGGAGCCCTTTTGGAAACATGTTGGCAAATCTCCTAGAGTTAATTTAGATTGCTGGTCCTTTATGCACTGCAATGAATGCCTGTGCTTAGTGGGCCTCCAAAGCTAGAAAACCTACTGTTGTAAAGAATAACTGTATGAATATGTGCTTCTTTAGAGGTGTCCAGGGCATAATTATATTGCTTTATTTTCTCACTTGCTGATCATCATCTGAGAGTGAGACTCTTTCCTACAGTCAGGCAAAATCTTTCCACATCTTAAAGTCCTTTCTGTTCATTGTCGCCAGCTGAGTAGTTGGAATTTCACCTCCTGTTGCTCCTGAACTTGTGCTTTGAAAGCTATATGTACTCCAGATTCTTCCAGACTGTGAGCTCAATTATTTGTCAGCGAAACCTCTGAGGGGGTTCTGACTGTTTAAGACGGCTTGTTACATGACAGCGGGAAGCTGCAGTATGTAATTTCATCTTTTCTTTCAACAGGTGCCTCTGCAAACACAATAGCCTGCCAAACAGACAGAGAAAAATGCCTAGATGATGGTGTTAGCCAGGTATTTCGGTCTTCAGGGGCGCAATATTTTCCTCAGCAGATGGTTGTAATAAGCGATACACCTTACAGATATATATACCTGATATACTGTTGGGGATTCCTGTCTTTCTTTCCGGCGTCTCACGCTGTAAATCATATTTATTGTCAGCAGACATAAGGAATGTGTGGTGAAAGTTGGTAATTGTTGCAGCAGAGTGATGGGGTTCAACCTACACTCATGCAGCCTCATGAGTTAAAACACTTTTGACTTGTGAAAAAGCATCAGGTGCAGTTCCATTTGTACAAACAGCTTCTTTATATACTATATACAAATTTGCATATATACTACTCAAAAAATAAAGGGAACATTCATATAACACACCTAGATCTGAATGAATGAAATATTCTCATTGAATACTAGGTTCTCTGCAAAGCTGAATGTGTTGACCACAAAATCATCAATGGAAATTAACTGTATTAACCAATGGAGACCTGCATTTGCAGATACACACAAAATTTGAGTGGAAAAATACTACAGGCTGATCCAACTTTGATGTAATGTCCTTTAAACAGATTTGTAATAAGGCTCAGTATTGTGTGGCCTCCATGTTCCATGCTCCTGATGAGGAACCTATAGTCTCCTGAGGGATCTCCTCCTAGACCTGGGCCATTTCTCAATATGTACACTTGTGCATTCTTATGTGCTTGTGAAGCATCATCAGCCTCAGGTCAAGCCCTGTTCCAATCGAAAAGAACACAAGACCAAGAACGGACAAAATCCCTCGATGTTGTTCTCGTACCTCCCTTTGTACGAGCATGTATCAGAGCAAACTTGTCCGCTCTCCAGACTGACATCTGTCCCAGCATGCACTGCGGCAGCAACAGCTTCAAGGGGAGGTCAGCGTATTAGGTTAAAAGTTCAACATGTACTAAAGTACATTTGTAGAACATTAATGACCCATTTACTGATTTAAATAAAAAAAAAAAAGTTTAGATGTTGAAAGGACCGTGGCAACTAGCGGACCTTCGAAGCTAACGGCAGCCAGGGTTAACCCTAGCCCATCTGCAGCAGCCCTCTCTCAGCTTAGCAGTGGCTCTGTTGACATTTTCTTTGGTTTTATTTGGAAAAAAAACATGTATTTGGTTTGTGTTTATCTGACTGTGATAATCATTATTGCCTCACTAAAAAGTAAGAATTTATTACTATCTAGAGACTATTTAATAACACGACTTGAAATGCAGGTCTAGAGGAGCTGAGCCTGTGGTGACATCAGTACATTTCCGTTCCAACTGACTCGATTTGTTGATTTGTTCTGCATGCTCCTGTTCTGCTCGAGTCCACACATTCCTATGTTCTTGTAGAGAATGTACTTGGCAAGAACACAAGTCCATACTTATGTTCTTGCGAACCGAGAAAAGGCCCTGGACTAAAAAAATCTCCCAGCTCCTGGATGGCCTGTGGTGCAATGAGACGTTGGTGGATGGATCGAGACATTATGTCCCAGATTTGCTCAGTAGGATTAAGGTCTGGGGAATGAGCTGGCCAGTCCATAACTTCAATGCCTTCATCTTGCAGGAACTGCTGACACCCCAACCACATGAGGTCTAGCATTGTCCTGCATTAGGAGGAACCCAGGACCAACCGCACAAGCATATAATCTCACAAGGGGTCTCATCTCAGTACCTAATGGCAGTCATGCTACCTCTGGCAAGCACACGGAGGGCTTTGCAACCCTCCAAAGAAATGTCACCCCACACCATTACTGACCCATTACCAAACTGGTCGTGCTAAAGGATATTGCAGGCAGCAGATATCTCTCTAAGGTGTTTCCAAACTGTCACATTTGTAACATGTGCTCAGTGTTAACCTGTTTGATTTAGGAAGAGCACAGCGTGCCAGTGGCAAATTTGCCGATTGTAGTGTTCTCTGGCAAATGTCGAGCATCCTGCACCGCGTTGGATCGAGAGCACAACCCCCATCTGTGGACATCAGGCCCTCATACAATCCTCATGGAATCTGTTTCATACAGACCTATGCACATTTGTGGCCTTCTGGAGTTCATTTTGCAGGGCTCTGGCAGTGCTTCTCCTGTTCATCCTGCATTAGGAGCCTGGCCAAGTTATCCCTACAACCCAGCAGCGGCGGTCCTACTGCTGGGTTGTATCCTCCTACTGCCTCCTCCACGTCTCCAATTGTAGTAGCCATTCTCCTAGTAGTGCCTCCAGCCTCTGTAGACTAAGCTGACAGACACAGCAGACCTTCTTGATACAGTTCACACTGATGTGCCCTCTTAGATGAGCTGCAGTATTGCAGGTCTTTTACACAACAACATGGGAATTTGATTGTCAATCAGTGTTGTTTCCTAAGTGGTCAGTTTGATTTCACATAGGTTTTATTTACACACCAGCTTAAAATAAAAATATCTTCTGAAGATGTTGGTTATACGCAATATGTACCATTTCTATCTCCTTTCAAAAGTTAGTGTTTTTCATTTACCTCAACTACAACTCAGGTCTTATCATAAATCTTTATTACCTTTCATCAACTGTAATTACTTTCCATAATGATTTGATTGAGCCAGCAGCACACAAGAACAGACTTGGCATAATTTCACCACCTAAATATTCCATTATAAGGACTTGAAATAGGGAAGTGTATAGTCTGATAGCCTCCCCTAAAACAAACCTTGTCATCCTTTTTTATTTGTTCTGAAACATGGTGAAAATGGCAGTACTTGCAGCTGCCAAAATAAATGTTTGGGTGACTGTATTTTGGCCAAAGGGTCATGGAAGGGCTGTTAGCTTGTTAATCTGAGTGTCGGGATCTGTCTGGCATCGTGTCCTGAGCGTGTCAGCACTGCTTTGGGAAAGACGGGCCAGCTTGAAAAACACAGGCCTTAGCAGCACAGAGAGTTTTATTGTTTTTGTTTCCCTTCAGCTCTTTAGGGTTGAACCGGCATTCTGGCACAGTGCTGGAGTTCAGAAACAATGGTCATTACAGGGACTGAAATGTACATTGACCAAACTTGTACAAAGTCCAGGAAAGCTGAAGCTGTTTTCCACAATCAAAGGATTTGCTGACTCTGTTGCCTATTATAAAGCCAAACATAAAACCCCCTTTTAATGCAAACAGTTCAAGGATAGTTTATCTCGAGGCAAATTCATTAAGCTCGAGTTTTATTTTGTACTTGGAATGACTAGATCAGTGGAAAAGCTAATTTGCTTTTAGGTGTGTGCAGATATGGTGGCTACATTATTTTATTAATTTTGACTGCAAAGTAAATGGGTTGTTCCTACAACACAAAGATAATTGAGTAAATAAAGTTGTTATAGTACACATAGTTAAGTGGACATACCACCAATTAAAAGCCTGTCTAAAAGGGTGTTCATCTCTGTGTGGTTTTGACAGAAAAATATTCAGAACTGGATGGAACAAGCTGCAGTTTTGATAGCTTTGTTTATAGGTAACATGAGCTTTTCTAGGGCTCTGTAAAAGAGCATTAAACTCGGTAAAAGAAGAAAATAAGAGAAAAACGAACTATTTAAAAAGCTAAAATCGGTCATAATCCTCTATATTTATTTGCAAACTCTTTTATGTTCTTCTCAGGAATATAATCTTTAATATTCAGGCTTTTGGGAGTCTGCTTCAGTGTTTTTCACATTTTGTCTCAATAAAAGCACAAACTAAAAAGGTTTTTTTTCTGTACAACTTCATTAACGAGCCATTTTTTGGTGTTGCTGGGTCCTCATGACCTGTTTGTTCTCTTATGTTCCCAAAGAACCTCTTAAAGTTTTTAGAAAATAACATTGCCTGGCTCTGAATAACAAATTGGTGACTTCTAAAGAAAGACGGTTGCCCAGGATTTCATTTAGTGGTTTTGTTGAGGCTTTGTGCCCGAGTTGAACAGAGTGACTGAAGCACATGGTCTTGACTGCTTGTGGGATCAGGCGTGCCTGCAATAAATGAAGGAAATTTATCATTGAATGGAAACTCATTCCCTTTGAAAGGAAAAAGGCCCAAAACTATTAATTTGTACCAGTAGTTTTTTTACTGCTTAGGTTTCCTCTAAATACTGGTTGGTTTAAGCAAAATAGCCCCTGGTTAAAAAAATATAACCACGAACAAGTGTTGTTTTGCTAGTATCAAATAATCATAAGTGACCTGTTCTGATCACCTTGTATTCATATTCATTTTATTAAAAATCTCTCTTTTAGCTGTCAAGTTGTGTTAGTAAGACATGCAGGCCCGTGTTCTAGGCCAGGAGGAGAGCACAGCCATTGGCTTTCTGTTTTCATCATGCTGAATGTGACAGGAAGTTGGTTGTGATCCGAGCTGAGACAAAAAATGTTAAAACATGATCTGATTATATTCCTGCTGAATGGTCATGACTGCACTGTAACAATAAAACATGTTTCGTTTTGCTTCTTCTGTTTAGGAGCAAGAGGACCCCAACAAGCTGGCCACCAGCTGGCCTGACTACTACATTGACCGCATTAACTCCATGGCGGCTGTAAGTTTACCTTGTTTATGTGCTTCTTTAAAAGTTTTATTGCCTCTATGTTAGTTCCCATGAGTGAATTCCCATGCAAATTCCCACCTAAATCAGACACTAAAATTAACAGAACATCTCCATGCCATCCCCTATAGCTTAAGATGTTAAATATGAATGTATGTATGTGTGTGTATGTATATATATATATATATATATATATATATATACATATACATATACATATATCTGTGGCTGGATTAAATACATTTTAGATTTCTGTTTGGAACTTGCCTAAGCCAAGTTATCGCTGCACTCTCAGCCATTCTTTCTCAGGCATCTCTAAGGGCACATTTTTCATCATGTCCCTACTGACTTGCTGGTTATGCTCACATGACCACATTCCTTCTCTTTGACCCATACATTCACACACGCACTGTGATGACAAACAGGCCTTTTAGATACTCAGCAGTTCACTCAGAGGGAATAACTGTCAGCGACCCGGAGCCAAAATGACCATATTCATTATTTTTTAACCAGTAAAACTGTCAGTGAAAACAGCTTGACACCATCACTAACTTATCTTCTGCTGTGAGTTCACTGTCATTTAACCTGCATCCTTAGGGGACATTGTATTATTTGATTATGTGGACCACTAGCTTATTTTTTTTGTAACTGATCTTTGACCTTAGTTGTTATTCAGACAAGTTGGCTTAAGAAATGTTTGAGAATCACAAAAATATATTTTACAAGGCCAGTGTGTAATCATTGAGCTTTTAAGGAAATACTATTTTAATCACATTTCTAATGCAACCTACTAAGCTTTTTTGTTTCTTTGTTGGTCTTTCCAAGTTACAAATCTGCTTAACTTTTCTGTTATGTTTAAGACTTTTTTTTTTTTTGCATAAGCTCTATCAAACTCACCCAATGAGAAACTGAAAGGTATTTGAGTCATCCTGGCATATTATCTTTTTGTTGGCTTCTTCTTGGTAATTGTTGTCATCACTGAAGATGAGTCTTGTTTCTCTTATATCCAGCCACTCTCATTCTGCTGCTAATTAATCCATCTGCATGTTGTGCATGAGCTCCGGAGAAAGTTTGCCATCATTTAGAGCTTTGAGTAGTTTCTCCATATCTTTAACTTGCACCTTTGCAATAAAACTAAAAGTACTCTTATCAAAAACTGGTGTTTTTTTCCTGTTTTCCGCCGCTTGCATTTAGCCAACTTGTTCCTACTTCACTTAAAATGTGTCATGAATTTATTTGATAAATGCAAACATGAAACAAATATAAGCAAATGCAAAATAAATCTGTACGAGGAAACATACCTTTTA